CCTTTTTCCCTATATAAGGACCCCTTTCCCTTGGCTCGGGGTGCTTAGCCACACAAAGGCTGAGTCGCCCCGGGTGCCCGCGTCTCCAATAAAGCCTCTTGTTTTTTTGCATCCAGTTCGTGCCTCGCTGATTCCTGGGTGTGTGGGTCTCCCTCTACGAAAGTGCCTCTTCGGGGGTCTTTCATTTGAAGGGCTGAGTCCCAGCCGTAAGGAAATGTTTTCTCTTAAGGGAGTGCTCTGATGCTGGGGACTGGACTCTCCCAGACTGATGCTTTTCTCTTTGTCAGACAGAAGACACCTGCAGGAGTTCATCTCCATACTCTCGGTGCACCTTACCCCTTCATGGCTGCCTGGCCCCTGTGCTTTAAGTTGTTTCACATTTTCTCCACTTTATCCATTGATTAGAAGAACCAGCGCCTACTTGCATGCAAGCTCCCTCTCCTCATGATAAGGTGTGTGGGGGTGGAAGGCCCTGGCTTCTCTTCCTCCTCCCAGCCTCTCCCTGGAGTGCCCGCTGCTTGAGCAGAGAATCCCAGATGCTCACGCTAGAACTGCACCAGGTGCGGGGACCCTGGCAAGGATAGCTGGATTCTTGAGGGGCACTGGGCAAATGTGAGGAACACTAAGCAGTCAAGACACACAGGGCAACATCATTCAGGGCACCTGCCAAGCCTGCTCAGCCTTGCTTCCTCCAGGTGGAGCCTGGGGACTCCAGCTCAGACAAATATTCCTTCCAGCCTCCACCAGTTCCTGGCAGCATCCTCCTCATTATCCCCCGCTCTCCCTCCCCCTTAACCCTCCACCACTGGGGCCACCCATGAATTTTTTCTGTTATGTGTACAATTTCAGAGCTAGATAAAGAATCTGTCAAGCTGAATGTGTTTCAGTGACAGCTGCTCTTTCAGTGGACCGGGATTCAATTCCCAATACAAGCAGAGCAGCTCATTATTGTCTAGAACTCCACCTTCAGGGGACCTGACGACCCTTCTGGCTTCCACCTGCACCAGGGCTACATGGAGTGCACAGTAACACATGAAAAGAAACACACTTTTGCCACAGTGACATTGAGAGAATTTTATTTTGGCAGAAACCCTGATATTTTCAAAGAATTAAACCTAATTAAAGGCTTTCACAATTTCCTTACCTTTTTGTTTCTATTTTGCATATTGTGATTTGTAAGCAGAGAACACCAAAATGCTATGTCACAGTATTTACAACGGTGATTTTCTCTCTCGTATGGATTTTCTAATGTCTCCTTAGACTTACTTACACTATAAAGGATATGTCAGTCTTTGCATTTGTAAGGTTTCTTTCTTAAATGAATTTTCTGATGTGTTCTAAGTTGATCACACTTAGCAAAAGATTTGTCACATTCCTTACAACTGTAAGGTCTCTCTCCAGTATGAACTTTCTGATGTCTTCTAAGTTTTGAGGGCCGGGTAAAGGACTTGTCACATTCCATAGATTTGTAAGGTTTCTCCCTAGTATGAATTTTCTGATGTGTTCTAAGATTTGTGACCTGGCTAAAGGACTTGCCACATTCGATACATTTGTAAGGTTTCTCCCCGGTATGAACTCTCTGATGTATTCTAAGACTTGAGCAATTGGTAAAGGATTTGTCACAGTCCTGACAACTGTAAGGTCTCTCTCCAGTATGAATGCTCTGATGGCTTCTAAGATGTGAGTTGTGGATAAAGGACTTGTCACATTCCTTACATTTGTAAGGTTTCTCTCCAGTATGAAGTTTCTGATGTGTTCTAAGAGATGCACGTGTAGTTAAAGATTTGCCACATTCCTTACATTTGTAAGGTTTCTCTCTATTATGAAGTCTCTGATGTGTTCTAAATTTTGAGTATTCGTTAAATGATATGTCACAGTCTTTACATTTGTAAGGTTTTTCTCTAATATGAATTGTCTGATGTGTTCTAAGATATTCGTACCTAGTAAAAGATTTGCCACATTCCTTACAACTGTGAGGTCTCTCTCCAGTATGAACTCTCTGATGTCTTCTAAGATGTGAGCAAGTGGTAAAAGATTTGTCACATTCCTGACAACTGTAAGGTCTCTCTCCAGTATGAACTCTCTGATGTAGTTTAAGACTTTCCATATGGGCAAAGGATTTGTCACAGTCTTTGCATTTATGTTGTTTCTCTCCAGTATGAATTTTACGATGTTTGATTAAACTATAATATTGGACAAAAGATTTGCCACATTCCTGACAACTGTAAGGTTTCTCTCTAGTATGAACTCTCTGATGTGTGCTAAGATTTGACATGTGGTTAAAGGATTTGTCACATTGCAGACATTTGTAAGGTTTCTCTCCAGTATGACATCTCTGATGTTTTCTAAGACTTGCAATATGAATAAAGGTTATGTCACAGTCTTTGCATTTAGGAAGTTTTTCTGCAGTATGAGTTTCTTGATGTCTTCTCAGATCTGAGTGTTTGGTAAAGGATTTGTCACATTCCATGCATTTGTAAGGTCTCTCCCCAGTATGAATTTTCTGATGTGTTCTAAGAGTTGAGTCCCAGGTAAAAGATTTGTCACATACCTCACATTTGTAAGGCTTTTCACCAGTATGGATTCTGTAATGCCTGTTAAGAAGAGATAATTCAAGAAAGGACTTACCACATTCTTTGCATTTATGAACCTTCTCTAGAGAATGAGTTCTCTGATGCTTTCTCAATGATGACTGGTGGAGAAAGGATCTGTCACAATCATTGCACTTGAAAAGCTTCTCTCCAGTATGGAGTCTGTAATGGCTTTTAAAATGTAAAAGCTGATGAAAGACCTTGCCACATTCTTGACATCTATAGTATCTCCTAGCAGTGTGCAATTTCTGATGTTTCTTGAAAGTGGAAGAGTGGGCAAAGGATTTGTTACATTCCTTACGTTTGGAAGGTTTCTCACCAGCATGCAATTTCTGATGGTTATGAAAGGCTGACAACAGATGAAATGACTTTCCACACTCTTTGCATTTGTAAGGTTTCTCCCCTATATGAAGTCTTCTACGTATTTTAAGACTTGAACGCTGGGTAAAAGATTTTCCACAAATGTTGCGCTTGTTGGGTTTAATTCCAATATGAATTCTCTGATGTACACTGAGTCTTGAGGCCATACTGAAGCATTTCCCACATTTCCCACACCGGTGTTGTTTCTCTCCAATGTAGATAGGTTGTTGAAAAAGATTGTATGTGTTGTCCAAATAGACATCATATTTTCCCTGCCTGTGCTCTTTCTTTGCAGCATAGACTCTCTGATCTAGAGTACTGTTGGAACACAAATTTAAAGATTTCTCACAGTCTTTAGATCTGCACAGTTCTTCTCCAGTGTGCATGCTTTTCTGTCTGTCTGGGTTTGGTGAGCCAACAGAGGCATCCCTGTCATTACTGCTTGTGTAGTTATTGGAGTTTTCTGTAGTTTCACTTGTTCTATAAAGTGCACATGTGGAGGGGTCATGAAGCACTTTGCCAAGCACATTACACTGACAAGACTTCTTTTCAATCTTCACATGGCAATGGACAGGATCACATTTGCAATACTTTGCTGAAAATGAGTACAGTTCAGATTAGTAGGGCTTGTTCCAATAACAAATATGTGATAAATGACTGTCTCCCTAAGTTCTCTTTTAACATAAATGAGCCTGGAACTATTGAGATTAGAGCTCCCAGTAATGGACAGTTTTCACTTACTGTAGATGTATGGATTCTCACAAACACAGCATGACATCCTTCAAAAATCAGTGAGTTATAAGAGATATCTCACCTATCTCAAAAAATCTCTAACTGGAAAAAGAAGGAAATAGTAATGGATGCCCGTGAATTAGTTTTGGTGTAGAAGTCATTGAGTGATTATATTTAGAATATTTGTCTGTATCTTTAAATATTTCTTCTCAGAAACCAATGAAGAAGAGTTTAATGGAATACCAGCTTAACAGTGTTCACACTTACTAAGTGACAGGCAACGAAGAGTACTGTTCAGAAGACACAATCCCTTTAAAGTGTAAAGTCTTACTCAAAAGCATGACAGGGTTTATCTTTCTCTCTAAAAAAAAAACAAAAAACAAAAAACAACAAACAAACAAACAAACAAAAAACAAAATAGATTCCTCAAAAGTAATAGAAGCAAAAGCAGTATTCTGATAAATATCTCAAGCTCTAGATCACTTGAGGGAGGGCTGTCATGTGAAGCTATTGGCTATTTCTGAACACTGCTGTCTGAGCTTCACATACTACTGTGTTTCTTACATTTCTTCATAGGGTCAATCTCAAGTCTAGTGTGTACACTGATTCCTGAGTTTGTTTCCCAGGACTTCATCTGTCTGTTCTCCACTGTTAAGAAAATAAAGGATATAATATGAAGATACACATGCAAAGAAGGCAATTACTGAATAATCCTACGCCATGGATTTACATTAGACTTGTAATTTTGTAAAATTATTCCAATCTGACTTCACACTCATATAAAACTGCATTTTGTGCTAGTATTAAGTCACCATAATTCAGGTGTATTAAATAACACCTTCAAACAGGTATAACAGACAGGATGTATCCTGGGACCAGGATACTACACTAAGTTAAATGATCAGGAATCCTTTCAAGAGGAATTGGACACTGCAAAAACATTCTCAGCTCTGGCATTCTCTTTCTCTTGAAGCCTTCACTGTTGTCCTGCTCATTCACTAGTCCACCCTAGTGGTAGTCTCTCTCCTCTCCACATTCCAGGGAAATGTCATTCTTTCCAGACAGGTGATCATGCCTGCCCTGATACAATAATCCACATGTTCCTTGAAACAGCAATGAGCCATGGTAAAACTTTTAGAAAGAATACAGAAGTCTAAGTACTGTTCTCAGTACATGAAAAAACAAAGCAGAACAATTTAGTCAAGATTATTCGATTGGTATTTCTTGTGCAATTCTTCAGTATATTTAGTATTTTCAGTTTGTATATCTTGCAGGTTTATCACAATTAAAACCATGTCAGTTGGGCTGGAGAGATGGCTCAGAGCTTAAGATAACTGGCTGCTCTTCCGTAGGTCCTGAGCTCATTCCCAACAAGCACAGGTGGCACAAAACCATTTCTAATGAGATCTGGTGAACTCTTCTGGCCCATAGGGATAAGTGCAGGCAGAACACTGTATAGATAATAAATTAGTGAAATTTTTTTCAAGATTTTATTTATTATGTATACAACAATCTGCTTCCATGTGTATCTACACACCAGAAGAGGGCACCAGATCTCATTACAGATGGTTGTGAGCCACTATGTAGTTGCTGGAAATTGAACTCAGGGCCTCTGGAAGAGCACTAACCTCTGAGTCATCTCTCCAGCCCTAAATTAGTGAATCTTAAAAAAAATGTCAATATCAATAGTGGACTATTAGTGGAAGTACAATATGTTACTGAGTCTACAGATGAATCTTGGAACCAAACCTCTGAACCTCTGAAATGGAAAATGGAAAGAGAAAACCAAATAACATGAAAAAGTTCTTTCCTACTACTCAGCCTTGCCTTGTCTCCTGTTGTTTTTTTCAGGACAGCTTAATAGGTTTTACATCTTATGGAGTCAGAACAAACAAAAGATGGGTTAGGAATTCTACAAACAAAATGTTCTCACCCACAAAGACCAGGTTGCTGTAATTCTCCAACATCACATCCTTGTACAAAGCCCTCTGAGCAGAGTCCAGGCATTCCCACTCCTCCTGGGAGAAGTCCACAGTCACATCCCTGAATGTCAACAGACCCTGAAACAAAAAAGTATGCCTTGACCACACTTGCTACCTGTGTTTTCCTGCATATAAGGAGACGGAATTTAGATGAATGAAGATAATTACTCAAAATAAAATTTCCAATACATTCACAGTCTATCACGAATATTCTAACTCTGTGAAAACATGATGACACAAGAGTCTCGCAAGCAGTATACATGAAACAAGAAATACATTTAAGGTCTGGACATGGTTATCTATATGTTATGGATGCTGTGTTTATGTCCCATAGGAGACATGTATCAGAAGGCAAATTCATGGCGGGGAAGTGTGTGAAGACTGACACAAATCATTCTGTGTGTACTTGGGCCTTAAGTGACTCTATTCTAACAGGCTCAGTGGGGATGTTTAAATTCTAGGTACAATGCCCCACCGAGTAGCAAAGGTATAGTTATGGAAGGCAGAATATACAACAAATAACAATTTCAGAAGTTTTGAAGAATATTTCACTTCACTCCCAAAGCATAAAATAAACTGAAGGAAGTCCAAAAAAAAAAAAATCAAAAAAACATTTAAGGTATAGCTAAGAGAATCTGTTCAAGTAAAAATTTGAATTCAGCTCATAGGAAGTATCTGTCAAAACTAAATTAATTAAATACCAAGGAAATAAAACTGCAAATCAACAAATAGGCAATGAAACAGACCCTTTTCAAAGACAGAAACTCGAATGGCCAGGAAACATTGTGAAAGTGCTCAGGACCCCAAAGAGGCCGCCATGGAAATGAAAAATAAAACGACTTGGAAATACTGCATTACCCCAGGCAGAATGGCTGCCATGAAGCACTAACCTGACAACAAATGATTGAGAGCATATGGAGAAAAAGGAAGCCCTGCTTGTTAGTATTCAGGCATCTGTAATGGCCTATCCTTGGGGTGCTGACAGGATTAATACCCTCAGCTGCAGCCACTAGGACAACCTCCTGTGCATATTCACTATGGTCCCTTTTAAAAGGGCCCCGCCCAACCAGCATGGGACTGACCCAGACCCCCCTGAATGTGGGTGTCAGTGAGGAGGCCCCGGCAATCTATGGGGCCTCTGGTAGTCAATCAGTATTTATCCCTAGCATACGAATGGACTTTGGGAGCCCATCCCACATAGAGGGATACTCCCTGAGCCTAGACACAAGGGGGTTGGTCCAGGCCCTATCCCAAAGAAAACTGGAATCCAGTTGCAGAGAAGGAGGAGTGATGAGCAAAGGTGTCAAGACCAGGCTGGTGAAACCCACAGAAACAGCTGACCTGAACAAGACGGAACTCTTGGTTCCCAGACTGACAGCTGGGAAACCAGCATGGAACTGATCCAGACCCCATGAACGTGACCTCTCCCTCCCTGGGGAGCAGAAAGGGTAAGGGATAGGTAGGGTGTTAGTTGGGAGGACAGGGGATGAGGGGAGGGAGAGGGAACTGGGATTGACAGGTAAAACAAGCATAGAAGCTTGTTTTTAATTTAAATTAAAAAAATAGGTGTCTTTCTCTTGAAAGCTGCTGTTCTTCAATTACAACACTACTCACCGTTGATAGAGGGGAGGGTACAAATTAATACCACCATTATGGAAATCAGAGATTATTGAATAAAATTGAAGTGAGAACTAACATATTCCCCAGATTATTCTCTCCTGGCCATATATAAAGGGAACAACACAGCCCACCTCAGAGATATTTATATCCCATGTTTACTGCTGTTTCAATCACCAAAGAAAAGTAATGGAATCAAGAGAATTATCTATCAGTAGGTGAACAGATAAGGAAAACTGTATAAAATAGAGTACAATTCAGCTAAAGGGAAAGCATAAAAAATTGCAGGAAAATGGATAGACCCAAAATGTTTAATACTGAGTACAGTCATACATTTTAAAAAGAAGACACCGCATTTTGGGAGCTTGCGTGGTGGATAAGTAAATCAAAACACATTCGGTGGTGAAAATATAAAACAGAATGTAAGGCTCCACAGCTTCTCTTTCCTGCAACAGCTCTGACTGTACAAAGTGCATTACCTGCATAGTCCTGGGGTCTGCTTAATTTCAGTGAGTGATTTTATTGTTGGTCTGATTGCAAAATTCCTCATAATAACATTTTAAAAAATGATCAGAAACAGAAAATGAAAGCCTTTTAATCTATCAAAATATAACATATTTAGATACCGAGTGAGAAGGACCACTGACCTGTGACATATTTACAAGAGAGTCAGTCATTTCTTACTGTTTCTCTTCTTTGCGTTTCTCTTTCAGGAATGAGGAATAGATGGCTTGCTCTCCTTTCAAATAAAGCGGGCAAAGAGGAAGAGTTAAAATTAATAGTGAAAGCTGTTAAAGAACAATGTTAAACCATATGAAAAGGCCCACACGACAAATACGACCAGGTGTCTAGTCATTGATTCCAAAGACAGGAGAGCATGAAAAGATATTTGAAGCTTCATGAGTGCATTTCAAGACAGCCACCAATTAATGCAACTGATTTCACTAAAGCAACATGGCAGATAATAAATTAGAGGCAAAATATACACAGGAGAGTCTGAGGAATCATCCATGAGAACATGGCAAATAATAACTTTAATGGGAAGAGAAGATAATTACAGGAGAACTGGAAAGTAATCCCCCATGAGCAAGACAGCAAACCACTATTTCTCAGAAAGAAGGAGAATACTAGCAATAATCCAATCAGGAACAACATAAAAATAAAACCGTAGGACATAAAAAAAGATGTGAACAAAAAATACTAGCTACACTGAACATCAAAATAGAGAATCCTCAATTAAGTAAACAAGCCCTCAAGTTAAATACATTCAGCACATATCCCAGCTGTTCCATTCCATGTCATGCACTCAAAGGACTCGACATCCTTCTCCAGATACTTGATCCGCATACTCACTGCTGCTCTGCTCACAACAGCTACAGAATGGAAACAACCTAATGTCCTCCAGCTGACAAATGCATAGTGAAAATATGGTTCATACACACTATGGAATAGTATTCAGTTGTAAAGGAAATGAAAATCATGACCTCTGCAGCTAAAAGATCATAATGGGTGAGGTAAGCCAGACCCAGAAACCCAGACAATGCATGTTCTTTCTCATAGGAAGTTGCAAGCTCCAAATCTTCAGATGTGAGTCCACAACCTGGAGTGACTGCAGTAACCACAGGAGTAAAAAGAGACCACTGTGGGATGTGGGGAAGTAACAGGGACACGGGACAATGACATGAAGGGGGAAATGGAAAACCAGACTTGAAGATTTAATTAGGGAGAATGAAGAGATATAAACACAGAAGAAAGAAGGTAAAATAACAGTAGGGATACCTGGAAAATTCATAAGGAATCCATCTATTCATTGACTATTATCTATACATGAAAAAATGCCTACAAGTCTCTGTAAGCATACACATTTAGAGTGTAAATGAAAATTTCTCTACTGCCCCGATGATGCTCCTCAGAAGAAACTTCCACCGAAACAACCAACACCAGGTGTAAGAAGCCTGGTTTGAAGTTATCAGTCATAGTTGTCCATACCAAACATTACAGGGTATTGGTGTTGGCCACGGTTTCCTCCTAGAAGCAGAAGCTGTGCCCCTAGTGTTGAAGGAGACACACACTTCACACACAAATCCTAGATGACTTGAGATGGAACTAACCTTAAAGCCTCCTCCCGGGGCCTAGTTTTAATGGTACCAGAGGGCAACATGCAACTTTCAAATGGAGGGAGCCAGCCAACAGCCCTACCCAGCTATGACACCTGTGAACCATAACAATGGTCTGCACTGCACAATGACCCCAAGGGTGCAGGAGTGGCACACAGACCTTGGTGGTAACCAACAGCTTCTAATTGGATTAACACCCTCTCAACAAGAGGGAAAACATGCCTGGTACTGGAGAGCTAACCAGTTTCCCCAGGGCTAGGAAAGACATGGGTCCTGGAGGAGAGCCTACAACCACTACTTTCTAAGTCAGCATAAGTCCTTACTGCATTCTCAATATTTCTCCTAAATTCCAAGAGACAATCGGAGCCAGCATAGATGGAGTGTAGCAGGCTGTAAATATACTTCCAGATTCTTTTTTTTTTTTTTAAAGATTTTATTTATTCATTATGTATACAACATTCTGCTTCCATGTATATCTGCACACCAGTACAGGGCACCAGCTTATAACGGATGCTTGTGAGCCACCATGTGGTTGCTGGGAATTGAACTCAGGACCTCTGAAAGAGCAGTCGGTGCTCTTAACCTCTGAGCCATCTCTCCAGCCCACTTCCTGATTCTTATCACAACTCTGTTGGCATTATTTTCAGGAACAGAGACAACAAGACTAAATAAAGGTAGAGAATGTACTAGAACACCAGAGGTCCAAAATTCCGGAAAAAAATAAATAAGCCTCGTGGTATTAATTGTCAAACATTTTTATAATATAGTAAAATTGAAGAAATGGAAATGATTCAACAATGGTATGAAAACATGATCTGTGACGTGAATAAGGACAGAACCACTCACATGCATTGCCAAATAAAATTTTATTTGACTTCATTATCAATTCTTCTGAAGAAAGTCTTCTCCTGCCTACATTAGGATAATTCTGAGATTTTTGCCAGTGAAACTCTCCGGAATTATCGCTAGTGATAGAGAATGTGGCCAAACTGATTTCACGTCTCCCTTTCACAGTCACGTGATCCCCTTTCCTGTCCTTCACCAATCCCTCCACCATACCTGTATCCTAAGCTTCTGTCTCCTCTCTCCTTCCAGGTCCCCTCTGTTCTGCTGCACAGGTGAGCAGGTCTGGGTGATTAGTGAGCCCTGCACATGAGCAAGAGATTGGTTAGGAAGCCCCTGGATTTCTCACACAGTACTGTGCTCAGCAGATGAAGAGAAAACTAAATACAGGATTATACAAATGATTTCCTAACTGTCATGCAATGTCACAATACTGGTAATATTTGGGAGGATTTTTAGTTGGCATCTCTTGAATCCTACTTCCAATCACACCTCAGTCAAAACTCAGGGGCAGAAATGGTACTGGATGATTAGGGAGAGAATATTATACACTGGTGAGGTTCTGAATTTATCATGGACCAATAATGATGATGCCTTACACCACCCAAAGGGACACACATGAAGAGTGAACATCTCATGAAAATTTTCTTTTTTCCTTTGAGGATTTCATTTATTCTGTGGGATGTGAGACTCATTCACACAAAGCTCACACACTTGCCAATTAGTTTGTCAAGAAATACTGAGGAGGAGCAAGGGAGACAGCAAGCAAACGAATCACAGTCACAGAAACCAGACTGCTGCAATTCTGTAACATCCAGTCCTGGTACAAAGCCCTCAGGGGAGGCTCCAGACATTGTCACTCCTCCTGGGAGAAGTCCACAGTCACCTCTGCCTGTCAACAGACCATAATAGAAAAGCAACAGTTTAAATCTTCCTCCTGGTGCACACCTTTAATTCTAGCACTTGGGAGAAAGAGATGAGTGGAACTCTGTGTTTTCCATTCCAGCATGGTCTACAAGGTGAGGTCTGCTCCACATGGAGCAACACTGTGAGCTCAGATCTCACACACAGCAAACATTGGAACCAAAAAATAAGTTTGGTCATGTGTCCATGGTCAGAGTGCTTTTCTTTGACCAAGGAGACAAAAGACTATTGTAGACATTTTTCTGATATATGTGAGTTATCCTAATCATTCAAAAGATGCTTTCTATTATTCTGTACTATAATGCATTGAAATTTATTTTTTCTCTCTTTCTATTTTCCCCTGAAAGGGGGTCTTTCTGTATAGTGCTGACTGTCCTTGAAGTCACTATATACAACATACCAGCCTCCAACTGACTGCTATCCACCTGCATCAGCCTTCTGAGTGTTGGAATTGAAGGCCTGTGCCACGAGGCCTGGCAAAGACACTTTTCAGAATGCTGTATTTACCTCCCAGTACGCATATGTCTCAGACAGAAAATTAATGGTGGAGAAAATATAGTTTTAAAAGCTAATGTTTACAAATATAGTGTGGAACGGGCAAAAAAAAAATACATTCAATTCAATGAAATTTCAGGTGTTCCTTTCATGACTATAGTATAAAGCTCTCTGTGAATCCAAGCCTCTAGGTAAATGTGCCACTCTCTTGAATATGCCGAGTATATAACAAGGAAGTTATTATGGATGATTGCAAATTTCAAGAGGTTTGTCGTTTCCACCACAGTAAGAGAATCTGATTGCAAATCTCAACAGATAAATCTATATTCTGTTGTGCCCACCAAGAGAGGGAACCCAAGGCCTCAAGGAGCCAACGAAACCCGAATGCAAGTACAAGAAGGTTTGTTTTGTTTTGTTTTGTTTTTCCAAGGAAAACCCAGCTTGCTAGGGCTTCCCTCTACCGGGAGAGGTGAAGGCCTGAACCACAAAAGCAAGATGCTTTTAAAGAGGAAAGGGGGGGGGGGGGAAGGGAACTATGAGACAGCAAATCTCAGTTCCCAAGGTTACCATGGTTACAGCGATTACTTAGCACACAGTTTCCATTCAAGGTTATCATGAAACAAAGGGCCTTGAAGAAGGCAGTAATTGCCACCTTGTTATGTTAAGATTAATTGGCACATCTGTGGGCCAGGGGCTCATGACCAGGGCACATCCTGTGATCGTGGGTTCGAGCTTATGGTCACGTATTCCGTGATCAGAGGGCTCTCTCTCTTTCTCTGTCAAGGCCTAAACGATTATGTCATTTAGTTATTAATTTTTCCATCACAATTCGATTAGACTATTCTTAAAAGAATATTTTGGCAATCCGAAGATCAGTTGAAATCAGGCTTATTCTATATGATCTAAAATACACCAAAGGAAAGACATGCAGAGCAGAATCTCGGAGACGGTTTCCTGATGAGCAGCAGAGAAACCGCTCGCACCCCCGCTCCTCCCTCCCGGGTCCCAGCCCCGCAGCTCCTCTGACCTGGGAGCTTCCAGGGCCGCCGGGCTGCGGTTCGCGCCACTGCGCTGCTGACTGCTGACTTTCCCAGGCCGCGCCGCAAGCGGGGGCACTGCGGCTCCCGAGGTTTCAGGTCTGCAAATACTACGCTGAATCTTCAGCCGCGAGTTCCAGACCTTGGGGCTGCTTCCTGCAGCGTCGCCAAATTGATTGGAGCAGCTCCTCCTGGGCCTTCCCGCTTTGATTCCACTTCCGGTCACCTAGTTGCTGCAAAACCGCTTTCCACTGGCTCATTTTCTTGATTAGTTTCCTAAGTCCACTCCGCTGTTTCTTTTCCCTTAATAACCTCTGATTAGACCATTGTCCCCAACATTGGAATCCCTCCCTCCCACTCGGTCTCCAGCCGCCTTGCACACAGCTCGGCTGTCAGGCCGCCCTGGACCCGCTCTGCGCAGGCTCCACACACGCTTGCTGCAGCCTAGACCAGAGCTGCAGCCAGGAGGACGCTGCACCCCGATATCTGACCCCACACTGTGTGCTGAGACCTTCAGAGAAAAGACAGGCAGCCCAACCTCGATTTGACAACCGGCCTCTTGGGCTACTTCTTACAGCAAACGATAACAGGCTAAATTCAGATGCCACCGTCCCATCGCCAACACAAACATGGCATGCACAAACCAAATGCTGCAATTTTGCCATGGGGAGAGACATTTTAGGAACGTTTGGGTGTCTCCAGAAGTCGGTGGTCAGCCCATTACTAACAGCCCAGGGCTGAGTTCATCCTGCTCTCATCACTAGACGGGGGTCGTTTCATTTTAGTAACTCAATGATGTTTTGTCTTCTCTGATTCATGCCAAAGGTTCTTTCAGAGAAAATACAGGAGAAAAAATTAATTCAGTGGTGAGTGCAGAAATTCCTGGTTGAAACACCTGACCTGAACATCCGGGAACTCTTGCTTCCCAGTCTGATAGCTGGAATACCTGCATGGGACTGATCCAGACCCCAGGAACATGGGTTTCTATGAGGAAACCTCAGTAATCTATGGGACCTCCTGTAGAAGCCCAGTATTTATCCCTAGCATAGGTGTGGACCTTTGGGAGCCAGTCCATATAGAGGAATACTCCCTGAGCCAAGACACACGGGGGTGAACCTAGGCCCTACCCCAAAGGAAACGAAAGAATCTGATGATACCCTATGGAAGGCCTCACCATCCAGGGGGAGCAGAGAAGATATGTGACAGATAAGTTTCAGTGGGGGGGGGCAGGTAGGGGAGGGC